AATGCATCTCATCGATATGTCGCATGCATCACATTCTTGGATAATCGGACCGTCACGACAGACGCGGGCATATGTGAGGCTTTTCGTGACTACTTTCAGGATCTGTTCATCAGGGAACCCGGTCGGAACACCGCTCAGATCGACGCCTATTTGGTCGACTTTCTATGACTCCAGGCAGCTGAAGCAGTTGGGTGCGAGGATCGGAAATCTGGGAAGCGCTGAAGTTAGTTGGTCGGGACAGATATCCGGGATTAGATGGGCTACCCTATGAACTGTACTTGAGGCGGGGTCTATACCTCAACGCTTCACCAGAGGTATGATCAAGTTGCTGCGCAAAGACAAGAACAGTGGGGATAGGATAGGTAACTTTCGTCCTTTAACTATGAGTTAAAGATTTTAGCCAAGATCTTAGCCAACCGTTTGCAGGCTGTCCTTTCTAGTCTGATTGGCTCCGAACAGACTCGCGCTATGAAGGCAGGACAACTTTCATATGGCACGCTTGATCATCGAGCAAGTCGGCAGTGAAGCTACGCTGATAAATTTAGGTCCGTCCAAGGCATGCGATCGGGTGGATCATCGATTTCTGGAGGCTGTCCTGACGGTGACCTGTTTCGGATCGTACTTTAGCACCGAGATTCGGCTTCTGTATGCGTCTCCCAGTGCGCTGGTGGAAGTGAATGGGGTTCGATCTGAGCCTTTCGTATTGTCTCGCTCCATTCGTCAAGGTTTGTCCGCTTTCGCCTTTGCTTTCCGTTCTTGCGTTGGAACCTTTCCTTCGCAAGTTAAAGACGAATCCGGTCCTTCGTGGAATTTCCATACCTAGTACTACCACATCGGCCAGGTATTCTGCCTATGCTGACGACGTTTTGGTTCTTGTGTCGAGCAGAGCCGAGATTGACGAAGTCAGCAAAGAAATCAGAGGGTACGAAACGATGACAGGGATCAAGATCAACCGCGATAAGTCTCTTGGCCTGCGGTTGTGTGCGTGCAAATGAATTTCTCTTCACGGATCTTTCCTCTGGACGAACGGGCCAGTCAAGATACTTGGCGTCTGGTTTGGTCCCGATCTCTTGCTGGAAATGTATTAGTCGGAAGTACAGGGGAAGGCCGAAGTCGCACTTGGTCCCAGAGGAATTTTTCCTCAAAAGGGAGGACGGAAGTATGTGCCTCTCACAGCTACCCGATTCTCCTTTACCGATTCTCGGTACTTTCACTTCCGTCAGCCACATTAATTTTATTAGTAAGGCTCTTGTTCTCCTTTTTGTGGGGAGGCAAGTCCGTTAAGGTACCTCGGGAGATCTGTTAACTCCACCCTTCTGAAGGCAGCCTGGGTATGCATAGCGTTGAGACTCGTCAACATACTCTTCACGTTCCTAGTTCGAATGTGTCAGCAATCGGATGAGGAGGGCGAATTTTGGAAGCCCTTAAGAACTCCCTGTCCCTGAGAAGTGTGCACTCATGAGAGGAGGAGGTCCTCTGTTTATCCCGAGGTGAGTGCTCCTATTGTAAATGTCGAATTGCTCTGAAACACCTCTTACGGGTGACGGATGATCGCTCTAACGTCCAGATGTTGTCCCGAAGGACATTATATTACGTGTTAGTTAGGAGAGGTCCGTACAAGATGATCTGATAAACGAGCTCGGTCTTATGAAGCAAGAGGCTCGAGTTGAAACGCTTCAATTATGATGAGGCATCACCTGGCTGGTGATTCGTAGGGCCCTCTGGGTCGAGGGAAGACTTTGCTGTGATGTGGAGGTGGAGTCCCTGGTCCCCTTCTTTCATTGCAGGGTTGTAGTCCCGTTGTGCAAGTTTATTGAAAGAAACATGGTTCGCATGTTGCGAATAAAAGTTTTTCGTCCTCGAGGTTAGCAATGTGGTACCGCCATTGACGAAGGCGCAACTGTTCTTTTGCTTGCTAGGCGTTATGAGAGTCATGATTTGGAGAACATGTCTGAAGTAGTTTTATGGGGGCGAGAAATTCACTTCTCCCCAACTGATCTTGTAATTTAAGCATTAGTATTTGGCAAAAGGTGGGTGAATCTTGCGTGTTTGTGGCGATTAAGAGGTGCCGATTTAGAGTGGCTCTTTGATGCCGGTTAGGAATTAGGATATTGCACTAATTGGGTTGAACATTGGCAACCCCGCCCAAAATTATGTGAGATTTGGGTTGTTTTTTGTTCATAGTTTTTTCCAAGTTAACTTAGCTAGGGGATGTATGCTCACTGGCTCCTTTTATTTCTGCTTTCATTTTCTTTAGTTTAATCCCCTACCTCCCGAGTTGTCGGGTGTGAGTTTTGTATTTGTTGTTGTTGTTTGAATGAGAGTATATTTGACGAATGAGTGTTTTATATTATTAAAGTCCCGCATTGATTTCGTCCGGTTAACTAATGTTTCTACCACATTAAAGGATTGTGGGTTTTTTATTATTATTATTAACACTATCTTATTTAGTTTCTTGTACGTAGAATATTTCATATTGTAAATAAACATTGGGGCCTAGGTTTTAAAACTTGTTGTTTTATTCCCTACCCCTTAAGAAAAGAATTGTACATATGGGGAGTAGTCAGGACTTCATATAGACATTTAGGTATTATGATCGCTATAGTAAGAGTGGTAGTAAGAATGCGTTGTTTTGACGTAAGGAATATTGTGGTATGTTCGGGTCAGTGTTTGTGGCTAGCTAAGTTCAAATTTTAAGACAGAAGAAGACCATCCTTTTTTCCTGTTCCCCCATTTTGGGCCTTGTACCACATTTTTGTATATATTACAAAATAAATGTCGCTCTTGCTCTTTGCACCAACCAGTGTGTCTCGGCAAAGGCCTTTGCCTCCTTCCTCTTTTAGTGCAATGGGGAAGTGAACCAACTAGCATAATCTGAGAATAATTTTCTCGACATACGTTACTAGAGTAAAAGAAAATATACCTAAAAATTTTAGGGTACAGTGGGCCGCATGAAAATATTAAGTGAGCCGCGGGTTGAACGTTCCTGTTAGTTTCAGTCGTCAGTGAATTTTTCTTTCTTTTTCTAGCCACTTGGATTATTTCTTTGGGCAAAGCAGGTGAACCGCGAAATATCTTTCTGTGGCTCGTGTGGGACCATTTTCGTGGTCAATATTTTCCTCAAATTTTAATTAGTTTAATAGATTTGTTCGTTGCAGTACTGAACTTGATGTACCCACCAAGTACGAACAGACAGTCAATTTTAGGTGAACAAAATCTGTTCGTAGTTTATCTCCAAAGGAAGAAAACTCCACCTACCCACCACCACTTATACCACCTTACGAGAGAGTGCAAAAAAATGTACCTTGCAACAATGTCTGGGTCTTTTTTTACTTTAATCTTATACGAAAGATTTGAAAAATCATATTAGGGAAAGCGGAAATAAGCAGCAAACATATTTTCTAAAACCTCGAGTTGATAAGAATATTAGTGAAATGAGTACGACCTTTTTCAGGGACATTTGGAGCGGGAGGGACCAGTGAGAAACAATACAAGAAAATGGACAGTTTTTTAATTTTATTTTTATAAGGTGAAAATGGAATAAATTTGATTATTCAAATTGACGTAGTGGCGTAGCAGAGGCGACAGGTAGACAACGGAAAATAATTCTTTTTTATATCGAGAGAAGGAATAGATTTGATAAATCGAGTGGAAGGGGTACACTAGGTGACAGATAACCGCCATAGACAACAGAAAATGAGGATTTTTTTTTTTTTAATAAGGAGAGCATGAATAGATTTATTGAGGTGAAATGAAAAACAATACAAACAACAACGAGAAATCATGTCTGAAAGAGGTTTGAGAGAAGATTAAATAAACTGAAATTTCAAGGAAGAAAGATGCGTTTATGGTCAACTACATAACCGAAACAACAACAAAGAATGTCGGCAATATCAAAGAAAAGAAAAATTACCGAAGTAAACCGAAATTTTCAAGAAAAGTGGAAATATTTTGAGATATTTTTTTTTTACTGCTTATCAGCCTTTTTCAGGTTATTTAAAGCCAGAAAATATTTTTATTACTATTTTCTTTAGATAATAATGATTTACTGACACAAGTCCTACTAATTAATCCAGTGGCGTAGCTAAGTGGGGCCGAGGGGGCGGACCGCCCCGGGTGCCAGCACAGGAGGGGTGACACAATGTCACCCCCAACAAAATTTTTCAACCAGGCTAAGGTGCCAAAAATAATCTGAAAACAGTGGTGGAGACACAGGGTTTCGCAGGCGGGCATATGACCCCCCAGAAATAATTTATGACCCCCCAGTTTTGTCCCCCCGTCAGAAATTTCCTAATAAATTGTCGGGAAATTTGTGAGTAGCAAAATAGCAATGTTTTCAGCTTTCATGTGTTTCAGTTGCTACAATCTTGGTTACTAACAAGAGACATTGTTGTAACATTTTATCGGATGATATGGTGTTTTAACTCTGCATCATTAATAACAACAAAGCGAAATACGAAGCCAAAAGTGCAACAATTTCAGTCTTGCCTGTGTATCAATTCGCTGAGATACAATTTTCCATTGAGTGAGCGATATACTTTTGAATATATCTACTGGTGTTGGGACGATTAATCGGAATCGGAATCGAAATCGAGAATTGGAAAAATCGGAACTTTTTGGGGTATTATCGAATGGTATCGGAATCGGAAAAATTTGTGCCTATTTTCCGATTCCAAAAACGATTCTTTTAAATTTTTAACTTAATTTTCCATTATTGGTACTAATGATAAATATTTATTGTTTTTAAATTATCACTAAAAATAAAATCATAATAACATCAAAATACGATGTAAATTTATTTTACTTGTATAAAGAAAAACAAAAAAATAAACTTTGCATAAATTCTCTAGGTGACGCCCCGGGTGACGTTTACTTTAGCTACGCCACTGAATTAACCCATACCTGGGAAAGAAGAGGTGAATTCATAACGCTTCCCAAGGGTATTTGCGCGTAAGAGGATATAACGAACATGTCTGGAATTGACACTCTGCACTCCTAATTCCAGCACCTGGTATTCCCAAGCGGTCACCTATCTAGGTTCTGATCAGGCTCAACGTTTCTTAACTTCAGTGATCGTACAAGAACCGGTACTTGAACATGATAATGCGTTAAGCTCGACAAAGGTAAATAGTAAAATACGTGTTCTTTATATGTTTGCATAATGTTACTGTACGAAAAGAAAGAGGCATTATAAAACAACACAGCGTGATCAGTACGGCAAATTCATTGGAAATAAGGGATTTCAGAAAGCTTTTTCGAAAGAGCAGTCATTTTTCCCCAACTGCTGTAAGGGCAATTTTTACTCTCGGTAGAATGAGGGGAAAAACGTCACGGCGCTTGTAAAGAAAGTTTCATCAAAGACCTCCCATTGAAAGACTAATAAAATTCTCTGTCATGAGAAAAGGAAAATATTTGAAAGCGTCAGCTTGTCTAATACTGTTTGAAAAATTTTCTATTGCACTAGATGAAAATACAGACATTATAGGGACTGCTTATTGTGCTTTCTTTATCAGGAGTCGACAAAATGTTTAAAGTTACTAAAGAATTATTAGATTTACTACTTTTGAAGGGAACACTGATAGGGTAGGATATATTGAGTGAAATGGAAACGAATTGGATACAATGTTAGATTGGTCAAAACTCGTGCCAGTAGTAACAGATGGTGCACCTGCAATGTGCTCTGAAAAGATGGATTAAGTTGGCCGCCTTAAAGAAATGTTTGAACAGTCTTGATTTACTCATCTGTGTTATCAACTGTATTCAGCATCAAGAGGTATTGTGTGGAAAAACATTGCAGACGGAAAACAATGGATGTAGAACTCTCAACCACTGACAGCTCAGTTCTTTTCACTCCACCATGGATAGTGGATATGGAGAGCTTCTGAGTCATTCTGAAATAAGGTGGCTCACTCAGGGATTTGTTTTAAAGAGGTTTTTTTTTTGCTTTTAGAGGAGATATTTGGATTATTCTTGGCAATGAAATGAGAACATGTTCCCGAGTTAAGTAACCCAATCTTAAACCAATCTGTAAGTTTGAATTCTTCACTGAATTTTCATTTTCAAGCTCCATGGACCAAAGCAGCTAATAGCAATGATGTACAACAGTATAAAGGCTTTCAAATGTGAAATTTTGTTGTGGGCAAAACAGTTTGAAGGCAGAAACTTATCCCACTTCACAGCTTTGAAATGGGTTGAATCAAAGTTCTTGAAAGAACATGCAAATATAATTTTAAAACTACATTTGAAGTTTTAAATATTTTCTGTTATTAGAAAGGCAATTTATGCTTTCTGCTGGGGAGCAGTTTTCAGATACGGTATTAACACGTCTACATTGTTCGACGTGTAAAACTTAACTCACTGAAATCCTTTCTACATCGAATGTTCGCTCGGTAGTTTTAGCCAATCAAAAATGACTTCCTTTGTTTTCCTGTATCTGACCTCAAAGGTCAAAATGAGAAAGTCAGTGGAGAAATACAATTCTTTAAAAAAATTATCTGAAAGATTATTATTTAACATATGCAGAGGCTGGTGTTCCTGATTTTTATTAGTTCCTTCCAAGGGAAAGATTTCCCAAATTGTTTTCTCACTTTTGTACATTATAGCCATGTTTGAAAACATACCTTAGTGAACTGCTTTTCTCAACAATGAAACTAAATGAATCTGCGTCAATTCTAGTTCTTCTTCAGGGAAAAGAAGAAAACCCGACCCTCCCCATCATTACGTATTCTTCATCAGTTATCTGTCAAAAGGGTACAAAACTATTTTACGACAATGTCTTTTTTTTTTTTAAATTTTTTACAACGAAATGAATTTGGCAACTCGTATGAGGGAAAGCTGAAATAAGAATCGTATTTTTACATACATTAAAGAAAACAGTCTTGCTAAGAATAGTAGTGAAATGATCACGACTTGTTTCGAGGACTTGAGGTGGAAGGATAATTGAAATGCGATACAACTAACTCAAACACGATAAGTTTTCTTTTTCATAAGGTGAGAAAGGATAAATTTGGTTTATCAAATAGTGTAGGCAGGACACGTCAACGTGGTGCAATGGTTAGCAGTCTTGTCTTGCTAGATCAATTACGACAAAGTATTGAGTTCGGTCCTCAGTGGGTACCTCATATTTTCGGCCTTGGGCCACATCTAAGCTATAATTAGAAAATCATGTTGTGTACTTCGATGTTGTGTATTGGTTAGCAAGCTTGTCTTGCTAGATCAGTAACGACTGAGTAGTGAGGTCGATTCTCACTGGGTGCTCCACACTTTCTGCCTTGTGCCACATTTAAGCTCCGTTTAGAAAATCCCCTTATTGGCGTAGGGCAGTAGCTGAGATGACAGATAGACTACACTCACAACAAAAAAAAAAATGAGGATTTTTTCATTGCAGAAATAGGAATAGATATTCGCGTGGAGCGGGTATACTAGTGGACAAATAACCACCATTTGTATAGAAAAGGAGGATTTTTCCTTAACGATAGGTATATGAGGTAAACGACAACACCCATAACACAAAATCATGTTGGAAAGAGATTTGAGAAAGTTGCTAAATAAAAAGGCATTTCAAGAAAGAAAGACTTGTTTTTGATCAATTACAATAATTGCTTAATTTAGTGTTAGAATCAATAATAAAGGTTTACCAAATTTGGCAATAAAAATTATTCTATGACAACGGTCACTGCACAATGAAAAGTGATTTTTTAATCAATTCACCCCAACCAAAGCAATAAATCCACTAAGACGCAAAGAGTTACTGAGTGTGAAATAATATGAGAAGAATATAAGAAAATGTTGCAAAACAGAGAGAACAATAAAAGAACAGAAATTAAGAAAATAAAACATAACGACTGATATTGCATATGGATTTTTGAAAATCAAAATTGATTGGAAAGCAAGAAGTAAAAAGTGTGTTCCAGAAGGGAGAAGCACAAGAGAAGAAACTGCTAACATAGAACTTACGGTTTTATTTAACTATTTCAACTATAAAAGGATGAGATCCAGCTGCCAATTTAGTACTGTGTTTAATTTCATAAAGACGAGATACCAAAGAGAACAATCTGAACAATTACCATGAAAACATTTATAGAAAAGACACTTGGAAGCTGCATTTCAGTGGGAAAGTGATTAAAGCCGAGATGCCAGGTCAGGACCGATAACACTGCAAATTCTTCTTTGTATTTAGAGATTCTAGATAGAATCCATAGTAGAAGCATTAGATCAGATGTGATAGCAATATTTAATGCATAGATGAATTGTAGAATGTGTAAGATAGATTCTGGCGAGAAAAAGATGTCTAACATGATACAGTGAACCATCTTTCCTAGCAGTAGATCTAGGAACTGATTCAATTTAATCTTTCCACTTCATACCCGCGGAAAACGTTAGCCCGAGAAGGCTCAACGAGTCGATCTCCTGGAGGTTAGCATCAGCCATGCTGATGGAAATCAAAAAAGGTTCTCTAAGACGATTAAAAGAGAACAGTTTTGTTTTGGAGGCGTAAAGTTAACAAGCCATTTCTTATTTCAATTAACAACAGATTTAAAGTCATTTTCCACATGAGCTGCCAATTTGACCACATCGAACCAATCAGAATTACCATTAAGACAGGGGTAAATAGTTGTGTCATTAGAATAGAAACAATGTTGAGAACTGATGACACCAAATTTTGATTAAAATTAGGGACAACATAGGTTCAACGGATACAGCCTTGAGAAAAACCTACATTAATGTAAGAAGATCCCGAAGAGTATCCGTTCAAGACAACTTTCATTTCACGATTTGATAAGATTGAATCAGATAGAAAATTCGACCAGAAATATCATAAACTTTCAGTTTGTGAAAAAGATCAGCATGCCAAACTCTGTCAAACGCCTTTGAAATATCCAAAGAAACAGCCCGAACTTCACCATTCTTATCTAAATCTTCATAGACTCTTTCAACAATAACCGTTAACTCATCAGAAGTTGACACAGAGAAGCAAAAGCCATATTACCTATCTGAAAAAAAAAGACCTTGTGAGGTGAAATACTTAACCACTTCGGAGTTGATTAGAGTCTCTAATACTTTACCAAGTAGAGGTAGAAGACTAATAGAATTATCAGATTATTTACTTGAGTTCTTAAAGACCGAAACTACAGAAGAGAATTTCCAACAATCAGGAAAACAAGAAGCAGCAGGGTATTCTTTTATAGAGTTTAGAGAGAACCACTTCAGAAAAATATTTTGTAGAGGAAATTTCAGTGATACCATCAATTCTATAAGTTTTATGGGAATCCAGTTTAGAGATGTCAGCAGCAACCATGGACGGAATTATGTCTATATCACACAATGGAGATTCGGTTCTAAGTGGAAAGTTACTCCAGATCAGTCAAGAGTAGAATTGGGAGAAACTTTACGAGCAAAACATGTTGCTTTATCAGAAAATGATAACAACTCAAATTAAAGTGAAGAGAGGAGGGATAGAAGATTTACCCTTTTTTAATACACAAGATTATTATTGACAATAAATTCTTTTGGTAACCCAATAGAAAACAAGTAGATCAATATTTCTTTGTTTTCATTCATTTTTCATTGACCAAAAAGAAATTAGTCATTACACCGGAAATGTAACTCTACTTCAATTAATAAGGTGTGGATAAAAGCAATCAATAATTGACAAAATATTTTCTCACCACAATCGCAAAAGTAACATCAAAGCTTGTCAACGGTTGCTTGATATATAAAATGTCCTTAAGTTGCTTTCTGTGTTTTCGCCAAACATGATAAATGTTTTATTATGTTCCATGGTTTCACTTTTATCCTGTCAAGATAACGAACTACAACATGACTAGAGTCTGTCTATATTTCTGAGATGAAGTATTATGTACGTTTTTTACATTATTCGGACTATATATATATATATATATATATATATATATATATATATATATATATATATATAGATAACTAGACTCGTTTCGAAAAACCCTCGAATTTTGATTTGCTAATCAAATCAATCTCGAGGGAAAAAAAAGGTTTTAAAAAAAGAAAGAGCTACAAACATGGACTTCTGCCGACAAAAAAAATCGCACAGATGCAGGTCTGAAGCCCAAAGAAAAA